ACATGTATCCATTCCGGTTTACAATATATCCACGCATCAGATTCAATGGTCCTTTTGGGTTAATAGCCACATCCTGCTTCTCGCCAACAAAGGTCTTACTGACTTTTTTTATGTCTTCCACATCAATTCTTGCAAGAATACTCTGCATCATGATTAGGCTTAGAAGTAGCCTGCAAATCATTTTTTGTAAATCGAAAAAAGATTTTCTTTTAAACCGTTTTAATTTCTCATTTTTCTTCATGAATATTGGCATCGGTTATTTCTATAAATATAGGTCACTTGCATGCAATTTATAATAAGCCAATAAGCAAAAACAGTTCTACGCTTTAATTGGACCAGTCATTTTATCCAATCTGCATATGTAAATACACCAGTTATCATCTTTATACTATTCTCCTGTAGTGAAGACCAATAGTTAGAAAACACTCCTGCTAGCACTCAGAAAACAGACTGGGATACACAATGCCTGTCCTGTTGTAAAATAGACTTCTTTATTTATCATCTAATTTAGATGTATTAGTGTACTATGCAATAGTGTTAAGAACAGTGCACTGAAAACCCCAAAGCCTGGCTATTATAGATGGACACTCTGATATAGCCCAAATACGTATGCAATGATACAGTCTAAATAAAGAAGTTGAGTGGCGGTAATCTAATGCAGTGTCTGTGTACTAGAAAGTGTACTCCTTCAATATGTGTATAGCCAGAGGAAAATAAAAATAAAACTCAACACAGAGTGTGTCCAGAGGATGTTTAACAGAGCTGCTTTTATGCAATACATGCGTATAATGTGATGTATGCGCAGACAAAATATCTCTATATATGTGTGTATTGCAGAATACAGGCTAATATGCTGTGTGTAAGAGAGTGTATGTCCAGCTGTTAATAAATGCCTGTTTCATTCTCTACTTGTCTATAGTATGGTGCTATCTCTGTTTTCCTCTTTCTTCTTTCTTCTTGTCTGAGCAATTATGGTTCTTTGGAATGTGCTACTTTTCTTCTTTTCCCTGCCTCTAGTGCTTTATTTCTCTTTTTATATCTATGTAAAATAAACTACTTCACTATATGGAGTATACACTTTATTTTCCCAATTTATAAGAGAATAAAAATACAAGAAAACATAGAAAGAGAGGAAAAGTAAAAAATAGACAGATGCACAGAAATGAAAGAATAGTTAGATAAGTAGAGAGCATAGATGTGTTATTATGTATAAGCAGGTCTAAGACCAATAGAAGGTATATTCAGTGAGATGTAGTGACATAGCATAGTATAGCACAAATATACTAGTCAGCAAGTGCAGTTGGCACATAAGGCATATATCTATCTATAGCCTGGGTGGTTTGTTGGATGCGGATAGACTTATAGCACCGAGAGTAGCTGCTATATTATGCATATATACACTGGCATGGAAAAGTGACTCTGCATAGTCATGCACAGGCCAGGGCAGTATTAGAGAGTGTGAAGGCCAACCAAGGCAGCACAACTGTGGTTAGCCAAGTGAGTATGCAGTAGAGTAGAAAGAGCTGTGTGCAAATGCAAGAGATCAGCTGAATAGTAGCCTCAGTATAGAACACTCTGCTGTCTATCCTGCAGTGTATGTATTTAACCCGAATTGCTAAATACTGCGGGTTTGTTAAGATATAACCCGAATTTCAATAACTCGAATGTTAAATAAAGAATTTTTATTTTTGTAGCAGAGCCATCTTTGACAAGTTTTTCTATCTGGCAGCATCCTTTATTTCTTGTCTTCTGTTTATAACCGGAAAGCAGTTAATTTATTCGTAATATGTATTATTAAAAAAACAAAACATAAACTGTAATAAAAATATGAATTTATCAACAAACAAAATAAAAACAAAAGAAGAGTATGCTAGCAATTAATTTAATTTAGCGCGTGGAAGCATAGCCTCTCACAACATATTGTGCCCTCAAGACAGAGATAACAACAAGCACATGTATGGCCATATACGTATGTAATACTAGTTGTATTCGGGTTATATTTTATTACAGAAATATACATCCAATATATTCAGAAATTCTTATTATTTCCTTTGTGAAAATTCCTACAAACTTATTGCAAAAATAGGATGATCTGTCAAAACTTAATATAGACATGTAATTCGGGTTATTAATCAATTATTCTCAGTTTAAGTGCTTAAATACAAAGATATTTGAATATTTGGGTGCTAAGATATGAGAATGAAAACACATGAATGTTTATACAAGAGAAAGAACAGCCAGATATCTATCAAGCTACTAGCAAAAGTGCTTCTTATAGGAACACTTATGGGTGTGCAGAATGTCTTTGGGTTATTGCCCATAGAAGAAATGGAAGATGTACTAAAAGAATTATTAGACAAATATAAAAAAAATAACACTGAATCATATGCGATTTGGCTTTTAAGCCCGATTATGCTATATTTGCATAAAGAGATAGATACTCTTCATAATGTGCGATTTAACCCTCGATACATAAATGAGCAGACTGCTGTGCCAGACAAAGAAAATATTTTACAGAATATAGACCGAACAAACGACACAGTCAGAGAAGAGGATTCAGAGGGAAATGAACTCCCAAAGAGCACTGTAGACCACTATAGTGCACTGATTAACATGTTCCCTTCCCCAGATGGAAAAGTAAGAATCCATCCTAAAAAAGGCTGCAAAGACTCTTTCACCTCTTTCTTGAGGAGTGAACATGTCAAGGAATATGCGCATAGCATTCTTGCAATACTTCTTCTGCGGGCAGAGGGAGTGCCCGTGCCGCTGAGAATTGAGAATGAGGAAAGCACGTGCCCAAAGCTTACATGGACTAATGAGTGCAATCCAGAAGAGTCCTTCAGTGTTCCCATATGCACTACTAGTATGGAAGGGCAGGAAAGTAATAGCTCTAGTGAAGAAGCAAATATAAAAAAAATTAACAGGAAACTACTGCAGACTATTAAGTACTTCCTTAATGCAGAATTCAGCCAGGAGCTTAAAGAGAGTATAGCGCAGCAGGAGTCAGTTGAGAAAGAAAATTATTGGGAGAATGAGTTTACTGAGACACCTGCCTGGCTTATACAATTGTACATATATTACTATCTAGAGACTAAGAAGAATGCAATTGACTTTTATGATGAGGTAGCCGAAAAATTAAGGTTTTGCATGGATGTGTTTATTCAGGATAGTAGTTATAAAGATATTATAATGGTGTTCTTTAAAAAACTCATCATACGCCAAAATACAAAGCCAAGCATATTAAAGTGGTGGAAGGAAGTAAAATGGATTAAAAATGTAGTTGAGGCTGTGAAAGAACCCCAGCTACATCCCTTCAAAGATAATAGTCAGCTCCCTGCTAAAAAAACAGTTCAAGAAAAGAGCGAAGAAAATAACAAAGGAAATAATGAAGAAAATAATGAAGAAAATATACAGTCGAAAGAAGGGCTAATTTCAAGTGATATAGAGTCTGTGCTACTTACTCTACTATGCTGCTTTGTATACAATCCGAAGACAGATAAATACAATGTTGAGCAAATTCCGCACGCGCAGGAAGAAGTAAAGAATCTGTTTGGCATGCCATCTAAAAACACAAGTACCACTAGCGATTCATCTGAACCGTGTGGAAATCCAGATATAGGCACAACACCAAGCAATAATATACCTGTTATTCAGCTAAGAGAGGAAATGCCACAAGAGGTTTGGAGCAAGTGGAGTGAAATAATTCAGAACATAGTGGAGGGTGATGAAAACATAAGTTACATAACTGTAGAGAATAATAAGCGTGTGATTCAACCCAATATTTTAAATATTCTCATAATAATGATAAAACTCACAGGAATGGATTATGATGAAAATATAACCCGAATACAGAAATATAGAGACAGGCTGCAAGACCCAAAGTTGATGCGTAATGATGACCTAGTAAAGTCTCTTGAGTCTGAAATTGCAAACTATGCAGAAGAGATATTTTCTCAGATGGGAAAAGAATTCTTAAGTGATGAAACACCAGCAGATGAGGGCTTAGTGTCTTCTACACCTTCTAAAAATGAGAGGGAAATATATGTGTTTTTCAAGAAGTATAATACTCAGATGGTGAGTGATAAAAACCATTTGGATGAGTATATAATTATTCATTATGCCACAGAAGATAGAGCTGAGCCAATAATTATTTGTTCTATGCGACCAGAAAAAGTTTATTTAGGAATTGGCAAGTGTTTTATAATATTAGACATTCCGAAAGACAGCTATA